GAGAGAAGGCCTTTGCTTTCAGATCTGAAGAGGAGTTTTGTTGTGTAAAAGCTTTTGATTATAGTCAAAGGAGGGAGGGGAGGGGAGGGGGGTGTTACAACTTACAACACTCTCTCTTTTCTCTTTTCTCTTTTGTTTTCTTTACACCTGATCTGTGGAGTGACCCAACCAAACAAACCCAAGAAGATGCAAAAAAAAAAAAGAAAAACAAATTTCTATTATTTAAAAAAAAAAAAAATTGTATGAGCTTCGACCGAGTTGAATCTGTGTTATCTCGGTAGGCTCGGTGAGTCGAATCAGTTGGTCTCACTCGTGTGTTTTTTTTTTAATTTTATATTTTTAACTAATCAAAAGCCGACTGCCCCCACCTACTCCCCTTTTTCGCCCATTTTTATTTTTTTAGTAACAAAAAAAAATTAAAACGTTATGTATTTGTTTCTCTTTTTAATTTTTTTTTGTTTTGTAGCACGCAATATCACACAAAAATATATTATTGCCTTATGAAATATAAATCTCTTATTTGATTTGATTTGATATTCTGTAGTTACTTAACTCCCTCATTTGTAAACAAATACAGTTCTGAAAAATATCTCATTTTAAAATTTTAACCATTATATATATGAAGAATCTAAGGACACATATATATAGGTCGAGGGAGGTAGAGGAATGAACTCGATTACCACTTTCATTGAATGTAATTCTTGTGTTATAACTTATAAATCTAAGTACCGTACTGAGTATACAATACCTAAGTAGCGCATGCGAGCCCTTAAAATATATACCTTAATATCCTCTTTTGCCAAAAGTAAGGTTCCGAGGGCTCTGGTCTAGTTCGTGGCAATTCCAAGTTTTATTTGTGCTCGTTTCTTCGTATTTGAAAGTATTTATTCCTTTCTCGCTTTTGTTTTCTGTTTTTTTTTTTTTTATGGTTTCTAGTTTTCATTCCTTCTCTATTCTATTGTATCACTGTAACTCTCTGTCAAAAATGGTATAAAAAGCGAAAGAAGAAAAAAATATATACAAAACTAATAAGTGTGTTAACAACTAACAACTACATATTTCTCGTTTTAAAAAGGGAATTTGACTTACAATAAGTTTGGGCTTAGTATTGGACCTTGGCCCATTACATCGCAATTTTATTTTTGAATGTTGCCTTGTTCTATTTTATCCTTATAATAATGTAGGACGGATGTTTTAAATACGAAAGTGGTAGTAAATATGCATCTTTTTACCAGTTCGCGTGCATCTTAGAAATTCTTGATGCCTATTCTTTTTTTTTTTTTTTTTAATTAAGCATTATAAAACCAAAATCAAAAAGTAGATCCAATCTCGCATGCATGTACAACAGACCAACACCAAAGCATTTGTTCAAGTATATATAATGTATGAATGTGGATAGAAAAGCAAAACATTGGCATGCTCATTACAAAAGTAATCAATAAGAAAAACTTAGGAAATTAACATGTATGTATCATGTATGTATATACAATATTCGTAGTAGACATAAGTTGAATACTTAAGCTCTGAATGTATCGCTAACTACACTTCTTGAAAGACAAAACTTTCCACACACCCAATTAGTAATCTTTGTATTTAAGCAGGTTTTGTCGGTTTATAATTAAACCTCCTCCAATGGTATTGAAGAATGGTACTGAAATATGGGATTATTGTTGGCTTTTTGTGAATAATGGTACAGAAAAAAACCTCATTTGAACACCACCATGTATCAATTTGTGGTTTAAGTTGTATTTTTGAAAGTTTGCTATTTCTTTTAACCGTGACAAGTTGTATCAATCACGTGATTTGTTTGCATATGCATTTTTTTTTCTTTGTCTTTTGACAACGCATTTATCAACTTTTGTTCAGAACCGTTTGTTCGATATAAAAAAAAATGAGTAAATTAATAATATACAGTACACTAACTAATCTTATTATCAATATAAAATTCTTATGTTATTTATTAATTTACTAAAAATGATAAAGTATCTGAAGAGGTATTATCTTCATTTCCAATACAAATTTTAAACATGTGAAATTATTGAAGAAAAACATAGCCTAAAGATGTAATTAGTATAGCATTTATCAAAATCTTAGGTCAGTACTCTGTATAGTTGATTCAAATGAGGCATCATTTTAAAATAATCCCTATTTAATCTTAAACATATAAAATCTCGATTACAAATTGGAAAACATTTATTTAGGAAGAGAAACTGCATACATATTTGTTTTAAAGAAAAAACAAAAAAAATCAGAACTTGATTAACCATTTATTTATAACCACGGGAAGTCAACATAAGGCTAAGATATATAAGGGTAACTATACTAAGCCTTGAAGTGATCAATCTGGATGTTCTCAACCTGGAGCTTCTTGTAGTCACTTCTGTTTCTTGAAACAAAGAACTTTCCCCAGTTGTATTTTTTGTAACAAGGCGGGTTCTCTTCACTTAGAAGCTCTTCCAATGGTTCGATGTTGACTTCATGCGACGGGAAAAAGAAGAATGGTATTGAGAACCTCTCTTTGCTTGAGTTCACTACCACTCTGTGCTCTGCACTCCAATACTTATCATTTGTCCAAACCTACTCCACAACCAAATTTTATACTTATTCATCATTGGTTATATAATACGTACGCACATCAAAAATATATGTTACTGATGGTATAGATTTTTACCTGAATACAGTTGCCAATGTTAATGATCAAAGCATCCGGGTTCGGTGTCACTGGGAGCCATTTTCCATCGGATCTACGACTCACTTGTAATCCACCTACACTATCTTGAGCCAGGACCGTTATTGCTCCTGCGTCTTTGTGGCGTCCAACACCTAACGCTAGGTCAGGGTTGGGACAAGGTGGGTAATGGTTAAACCGCACAAAACTAGTTTGGTCATTGAAGTAACCGTTTAAGCGATCACCAGGTAGACCCAAACTAATGGAGATAAGTTCCAAGAGCCCAAAAGCTAACTTCTCAACTTCTCTTGCATATTCTTGGCATACCTCTCTACCACACATGATAAAAAAAAAAAAATTCACTTTTCAGGATAATTAATATATGAATTCTATAATCAGGCCCAATGGGCCTAAACTAAGACCAAACGAACTGATCGAAAAGAGAGAATTCAAGATTCACCTGAAATGAGAAGGGTTTTGAGGCCACTGGTTCGTGAGCTTTCTGAGCTCGGTATCGTTCGGATCCGTCGTCGCCGGAGCTATCGTCGAATCCTGCAAGAAGAAATCGAAAATCTCTTTCCAATCTCGAACGTTCTTGGTGTGTTCCTCGTCGTGATAACCCATAGGATTGACTTCGTCTCTTTTCACTTTCCTCTTCTCCTCCGTCGTTAGTTTGAAAAACTCAGCAGCTGCATCATCGACACGACGCCTTAACTCCGAAGGCAAGCCGTGGTTGACCACCTGAAAAAATCCCCACTTCTTGCATGCATCTGCAATCTCCTTGGCGATGGCCGTCTTGTCATGATCGGGATCTCTAAGAGAAGAGAGGTCGATGGTCGGGATCTCGTCGGGGGAAATGAAAGCAACCACGGAGTCAGTGAGGTGAGTGTTGGATCTGTGTTCTGGAGCCTGGATAAAAGCTTCGCTGAGTTCTACTCCCATGGCGGTGTTTGAGGTGGTTCGTACGTACGCTTTGGAGATATCGCTTTGTTTTTTGTTTGTGGTGCATGTGGTGTGGATGGTTTGTTTGTTGCTGCTTTTATAGTAAATAAAATTTACGACACGTAATAGAAAATGTAAGATGACATTTATGACTAGATAAGAATTACGTGAATAACTTTTTGACTGTTTTTCTTTCTTTTTTTTTGGAAAATAATTATTTTTGATGAGTGTTATTGATCATATAACTTCGACTCAAAACGGCATAAGATAGGAAGGAGATACACTAGTTTGTCCAAAAAAATGGAAGGATATACACAAATGGTGTGTTTTTTTTTTTTTACAAAATTACAACGTAACTATAGAAATTAAGATGTGTTAAATCTAAAAAATTAGTGGTGTCTTTCTAAAAAAACAATTGTGTGATATATTAAAAGATAGTGTGTTTCGCGGAATAACAGCATGCTAAAATTAATATTAAAAACCGTTTCATCAAAAAATAATTACAGAAAATTGAATAAATAAACTAAAAAGTCAAAAGATACCATCGGCAGAGATTCTAAAAAAAACTATAAAGAGTGTGACGCATATTCACCCTCGAAAAAGATAAAATATATATATACCATTAAGTGGAAAAAAAAATATGAAAGGATGTGTGGTGTAATATCGTAGTGAGATGCTTAAAACGTCGAAGCAAGCATTTAGCAGAGACAACGAGTATAGTGCATCCATGGCTTTCTAAGTTGATATAAAAACATGGTTGAAAATGGATAAAGATAAATAATAGATTGAGGTATACAGTATTTTTTTTTTTTTTGGTAATGTGAGGTATACAGTATTTGTAATTGTAACTGAAGAAATAATAGTTCTTAAACAAAAAAAACTGAAGAAATAATAGTAAGTAACTCGTAATTATTTTGTCAAGATTTTCAAATTTATGTATATAGACACATTTCTGCAGACCATTCATTTATTTTTTACATTTTTTTGAATGTATCTAGACAAATTTCTGCATACACATTTTTTTTTCTTTTTGAATCAAACTCATACTGTATACTGTATTAAATTGAAACGAAGGAGGTAACCTCCAAAGGTGGAGGAAGTGGTCACAACCGACGAAGTTGTCTAGATACATTCAAAAAGAAAAAAAAAGTAAAACTAGATACATTAATTTATTTTTATAGTTTTACATATTTACGAATCTATGTGTATATACTCCAAAATGTATGTAGACAAATTTCTGCATACTATTAAGTTGTTTTTGTTTTTGTCGTCAAGTAACCGCACTATGTCAACTAAAGCTGTGATGTTTTTTTTTGGAAAAGAAAGATATGGTGACATAAAGCATCTTTCATCGTCATGTACTATAAGGCCTACCTTCAGTTCAAATAATGGCTAATAAATAAAACTCAACACGAGACTCGTGTTTTGTAGTATATATTAGCCAGACCATCGAATATTTATAAGTTATAGCTGACGAAGACATATTAAAAATATACATAACCTTGCTGAATACGGATTGTTAGACGAAGACTATACTTATTTTTATTTGTTGGGCAGAGCCTAAATTAGAGGGCTTGCTTTTGTGTTGCGTATACTGTATAATAGTATATACTCATGCATGTCTGAAAAGTATATATATAAATTCTTTATATGATAAATTAAAGGCTTGCTTTTGTTGCGTACTGTATAATATATATACTCATACATGTCCAGATCTGGAAAATATATGTAAATTCTTTACGTAATAGATGACGTAATTTTGGATTTGATTTCGATTATTTCACATGTGAACACTCATGAACAGATCGAAAGAGAGGTCTACAGTTACATAATTACATTTGGTTGGTGATCCACACTAGTCAATTACATTGAGTAATTTTTCCAAAGAAATTAATGCAAATGATTTGTTAGCGTTTTGTAGCAAATTCATCTAAGAAATCCTTAATAAAGTTGTTTTTGGATGCAATGTTAAGGGTTTAAATTGAAACACAAGTATATATTGATCAACAAAGCATGCAATATCTAAAATTAGGTGAACACATATGGATCGAGTAATACAATTTGCAACGATAGCGCTAGGTAGGTGTGGTAATCAAGAGAGGACCACAGAGATAGTTTCAAGTTAGAATCTGGACGCAATCTTATGAAAGGTGCTGAAACGTAAAATCAATTTCTTTTAAATGATGAAATTTTAGTTGTTTTTTTTTTCTAACCGGCCTTTCTTGACCAGAGTCCAGAGGCATGTGCTTAGACGCTAATCTGTTCTTGTAAAACACTTTATAATTACGGTCAATCATCATTCTCTCTTTGATAATATATATACTGTGATGGATTATGGATATATGATCTAACGGATGCAGAAAAATATTTTGTCACGTCAAAACATTAAACTAATATTTATTTTATTTTTGTCCATAACAATATTAAAATATATTTTGCATCTTTAACATACTTTAAGATTTGAAATAAAAAAATCAACCAAGTTTTTTTAAAGAAATATTTCCATTGGTTTATATTTAGTTCATATATTAGATTAATATTCAAATTTTTAATTAGAAAAATTCAAAATCGTTAATTTAAAATTCACTACAAACTTTACTTATCTAAACCATATCACAAAAATGTAAGACTATAAATAATAAATTAACTACAAAGGATATATTGTTTAATGTTACTAATTTACTAGATTACTAGCATTTTTTAATTAAAATATTTCTATCTTTCATATTTCTTTTCTGGTTGTTATAATCTTTCATATTCTATTCTGATTGATTTAATTCGCCACTTTCTTTATCAGAACAATTGTATCATAATTACTACATTAATTCATATATATATATATATATATATATTACATTTTGAAGAAAAAAAATATTGCAATAAGGAAATAGGAATTAAATTTGTTCAAAGTTAAACTTGAAAAAGAAAACATAATTCAAAAGCATCTCTACTAATAAAAGGGACAATTTAAACATTTTGAGTGTGTCCACCTCAGCAAATTAAAACTCATATCTAAGAGCACGCCACATCAGCAGCAACAATATTCATGTCCATCTTGAAGATTTGGACAATCAAGCTTAAACTTCTGTAAAAACCAAGAGAACTGAACTTGGGTTTTACAAAAGCTTAAGCTTGATTGTCCAAATCTTCAAGATGGGCAGGGATACTGTTAACGTCGAGGTTGAAATCGACAAAATTTGATGTGGTTCAGGTTGGTTATTTGAATTGAAAGCTGGTTTGGGTTGTCAAATTCAGAGTACGCGAGTTTGGGTATAAAAATTTCTTCGGAAAATAATTTGGATTGATTTTTCCCGTTTTCTCAATTTGACAGTGATGATGATGGGTTATATTGGGTACAATTTTTAATTTCGCAAAGTTTTTTTTAAAAACTTTTTAAGGAGTTCAAAGATAAAGTTATAAAAAAAATGTCAACTTGAAAGGTTTAACAAAAACAAAAACTCTTATTTTTATTATTATAAATTTTCTGTTGCCATACATTAAAGGAAGAAAAAAGAAAACAAATCTTGCCACTTCCAATACATCGAAGTGATCCTGTTTATTGGTTCGGAAACAAATTCACACCCACACACATTATTATTTGATGAAAATGATTGGCACGGAAAAGATAAAAAAAAAAACATGACATGGAGTCAATTATGTTATAACTTTCAAGTCATCGACTTGGATGGTGTGGGTATCCAGTTTTTGATACATGCTTCTGAGCCTACTGGCGAAGAACTTACCCCAATTATAGCCTTTGTACCTTGGAGGGTTTTCAGGACTCACAAGCTCTTCTAATGGCTTCACTTCCACATCGTGTGAAGGAAACAAGAAGAATGGTATTGAGTATCTCTCTTTTGTTGTGTTCACCACCACCCTATGCTCTGCGCTCCAATACTTATCATTCGTCCATATCTACGTTAAATCATTTTTGTTGTATAGTTATACTCATTAATTATGATTGCTAGAATCTTGAATGTCGTGTATAATAATATGACATAATAATAACAAGGATATTAAGTACCTCAAAACAATTGCCCATATTGATGACAAGAGCATTAGGGACGGGTTTCACGGGAAACCAAACACCGTCCGATCTACGACTCACTTGTAGTCCTCCGACTTCATCTTGAGCCAATATAGTTAGAACAGTTATGTCTTTGTGCGGACCAATACCTAAAGCTAGGTCAGGTCTTGGACATGGTGGATAACGATTTATTCTTAAGAAACTCATTTGTTCTTTGAAAAAATCATGGAAACTCTCTTTCGGTAAACCTAAGCTTAATGAAATGAGTTCTAAGAGTTTGAACGCTAATTTATCAACGTGTCTTGCATATTCTTCACTTGCTTCCCTAATAATAAAATAGAACCAAAAAAATAAACAAATTAGGTTACATAATTGAATAAAATAAAATCATATCACAAAATCATTTAAACCGTATCTAATTCGTTGTTTCTCATAAACACAAATTAATGTACCTAATTTTGAAAGAAATTACCTCAAATCAGAAGGAAACTGAGGCCACTTGTTGTAAAGAAGGCTTAAGCCATCATCTTCAAGATCAGTGGAAGAAGGAATCACTGTTGGATCTTTCAAGAAACTATCGAACACTTCTTTCCAATCTTTAACGCTGATCGTGTGTTCTCCATCGTGATACCCTGCTGGACTCTCCTCGTCTCTCTTTACCTTTACCTTTTCTTCCATTGGCAGTTCGAAAAACTTCTTCGCAGTCTTCTCCAATCGTTCCCTTGTGTCGCAAGGCACGCCATGGTTGATCACCTGAAAGAAGCCCCATTTCTCACAGGCCTCACCGATCTCTGAGATAACGTTTTGGACATCTTCGGGGTCCTCGAGGCGCGAGAGATCGATCACGCTTACTTCTTCAGGTTGGTTAGGGAGGACATTCGGAGCTGATATATGCTCTGGTGCTTGGAGGTAAGTTGGATCAAGATCTCCCATTGCCACAAGTACGAAATGTTTTGAGGCTAAGTGCCACTAGCTTTATACTGTGTTTGGATGTCTCTAGATCCACAATGTTGCTAACGCTATGCCACCATGTGCCCATCTGGCATGTCATGTGCCACCATTTATTTCTCTGAATATGCTTCGTTTGGATATGTTTAAATATATGTCTAAAGCACGTGTGTATGTTTATATAAATATAATATAAGATTTGGTGATCAAACTCACACCAACTTACCGACTCACATTATGGCAACACACTAACAACTGATTAATGAAAGCGATAAAATGAAAGAAATTGTCCAAATAAAAACTAAACACCAAAGTTAGCTAACCTTTTGTTCTAAGGGCATCTACGATAGGAGAGGCCTATTGTGGGTTCTTTACAATTTTTTTAATTTAATTTTTGAAAAAAATGAGATAAAGAGTTTGTGATTGAGTTTTAAATTTATTGTGTTACAATGGTAAGTATCTTTAGGTTCTTTAATTTTTTTTTAAAATGATTGCATTTTATTACTTCTTAAATAAAAATGACTTTTAAAAAACATTACATTACATAGAAGCAAATATATAAAAAAAATTCGATATGATTGTCGAAAGCTTGATTAAATGCTTGAATAAATACGTTATTCATCATATTTTGGAGATTATTAAGTAAAGAAGAAGAAGACATTTTCTTGTTTGGGAATGTTTAATAAAAAATGTTTAATAAGAAAAGAAGAAGAAATTGGAAATGTTTAAGAAGAAATTGGGAATGTTTAATAAGAAGAAAAAATTTGTTTATGAAGCAGCGATTTCAAAAGGGAGAGAGAAGAGAAAGAAGAATGAATTGATTTTCTTCTCTCTTTTTTTTCTTTTCTTTTCTTTTATATCTTTATTACCAACCAATATCCGATCGCCACGTCATCGCTTCTTCCACTTATTAAAAGCTCCTAAAGAGGAGTCGGTTCTCTTTAATAACTGATGTTATTCATTTATTTTTAATCGAATTTGGCCTAAAGAACCCCATAAACATCTCCCGTTGAGGTTGGTCTAAGTGCCCATGAAAATTGATGCCATGTGCCATCGTCGGGGTTCTCGATGATTCTCCGACTTTCTTCAGTTTAATTTGAAAGTTTATATTCTGTCAAGTGGTCTAATTATTGAAATTTTGAGTACAAAAGATACAATTTTAAAGTACTGTGCATTTATCAACTTTTGTTCGATAAAAAAAAAGGAGTAAGTTACTGATATACAGCCATACAGGACACTAACTAATCTTATTATCAATATAAAAATTAAAAATCCCTTATGTAATTTATTAACTCAGAATGATACGATATTTGAAGAGATATTTGCTTCATTTCCAATACAAATTTTAGACATGTGAAATTATTCAAGAAAAATATAGCCTAAAGACGTTACTAGTATATCATTTATCAAAATCTTAGGTGTATCTTTAATTTTTTTTTCATTAAACCCCTTAATGGGCTGGGACAAAAATTACAAGTATCTTAGACCATATACATCGGTGGGATTTGCTTTGATCCCAACAAAACTTTTTTTTTAAAATAATTTTTAAAAAAACAAAAAAAAAACAAAAAAAAAACAAAAAAAAAACCAAAAAAACAAAAAAAAAACCCAATTGCGGGCCGCCACGTGTCAGTGTGTCCCGCGAGAAGTGGACAACAACACACAAGACCGTCCCGATTATGAGTACGTCCCCCCCTTTTTTTGATTTTTGATTTTCTTTTTAATTCTAAATTAGGTAGGACTTGTGTGTGGATATGCTAATGCAAGGCCCTAATGCAGGATTATATAATTTTTAAACGTTTTTACATTCATGTAAATTGATTTAATTAGAAATTTGGCTTTTTCGTTATTATACTTTATAATTAATATACTATTTATCAACATTTATAAACTTGACGGTGATGACGACAAGTATATTGCGTATTATTTTTAAGTTCCTGAGGTCATTAATTTTATATTTTTAGGAGTTAGAAGGTAAACCTGCAAAATCTATACTCAAAAGGTTTAACAAAAACAAAAACTCTTATTTTATTATTATAACTTTTCTGTTGGGTTACATGAAAGGAAGAAAAAAGAAAACAAATCTTGCCACTTCCAATACACAGAAGTGATCCAGTTTATTGGTTCGGAAACAAATTCATACCCACACACATTATTATTTGATGAAAATGATTGGCACGGAAAAGATAAAAAAAAAACAAGACACAGAGTCGATTATGTTATAACTTTTAAGTCATCGACTTGGATGGTGTGGGTATCCAGTTTTTGAAACATGCTTCTGAGCCTACTGGCGAAGAACTTACCCCAATTATAGCCTTTGTACCTTGGAGGGTTTTCAGGACTCACAAACTCTTCTAATGGCTTCACTTCCACATCGTGTGAAGGAAAAAAGAAGAATGGTATTGAGTATCTCTCTCTTGTTGTGTTCACCACCACCCTATGCTCTGCGCTCCAATACTTATCATTCGTCCATATCTACGTTAAATCATTTTTGTTGTATAGTAATACTCATTAATTATGATTGCTAGAATCTTGAATGTTGTGTATAATAATATGACATAATCAAGGATATTAAGTACCTCAAAACAATTGCCCATATTGATGACAAGAGCATTAGGGACGGGTTTCACGGGAAACCAAACACCATCCGATCTACGACTCACTTGTAAACCTCCGACTTCATCTTGAGCCAATATAGTTAGAACAACTATGTCTTTGTGCGGGTTATGAGCTAAAGTTAGGTCAGGTCTTGGACAGGGTGGATAATGATTTATTCTTAAAAAACTCATTTGTTCTTTGAAAAAATCATGAAAACGCTCTTTTGGTAAGCCTAAGCTTAATGAAATGAGTTCTAAGAGTTTGAACGCTAATTTCTCAGCGTGTCTTGCATATTCTTCACATGCTTCCCTAATAATAAAATAGAACCAAAAAATAAACAAATTAGGTTTATATAATTGAATAATAGAATAAAATTAAATCATTTCACAAAATCAGTTAAACCGGATCTGGTTCGTTGTTTCTCATAAACACAAATTAATGTACCTAATTGAAAAGAAATTACCTCAAATCAGAAGGAAACTGAGGCCACTTGTTGTAAAGAAGGCTTAAGCTATCATCTTCAAGATCAGTGGAAGAAGGAATCACCATTGGATCTTTGAAGTAACTATCGAACACTTCTTTCAAATCTCTAACGCTCTTCGTGTGTTCTCCATCGTGATACCCTACTGGATTCTTCTCGTCTCTCTTTACCTTTACCTTTTCTTCCATTGGGAGATCGAAAAACTTCTTCGCAGTCTTCTCCACTCGTTGCCTTGTATCGCAAGGCACGCCATGGTTGATCACCTGAAAGAATCCCCATTTCTCACAGGCCTCACCGATCTCTGAGATAACGTTTTGGACATCTTCGGGGTCTTCGAGGCGCGAGAGATCGATCACGTTTACTTCTTCGGGTTGGTTAGGGAGGACATTCGGAGCTGATATATGCTCTGGTGCTTGGAGGTAAGTTGGATCAAGATCTTCCATTGCTACAAGTACGAAATGCTTTGAGGCTAAGTGCAACTAGCTTTATACTGTGTTCGGATGTCTCTAGACCCAGATTGTTGCTAACGCTATGCCACTACGTAAACCATGAGCCCATGTGGGGTTTCATGGGCTACCATTTATTTCTCCGAATATGGTTCGTTTGGATATGTTTAAATATATGTCTAAAGCACGTGTATGTTTATTATATAGATTTGGTAATCAACTCACACCTACTCACATTATGATATGGCAACATGAACCACCTCCAGCGGTAGGCCTGGAGCCGGCGGATCCGTAGTTTTAATATCCGGCTTCAGATACTTCCGATACGTTATTCCGGATTTGGGTTCCGGATATTCGCATAAAAAAGCTGATATTTGTATCCGGTATTTTTTTTAAATTATCATAAAGTTTTTTAAAATAAAATAAAAATGTATTTATTTAAGAAAAAAAATAATAAAATAATATTTTAATATATAAAATTAGAAACTATATTATTTAATATAAATAATAATAAATATTACCTAAAATATTAAAAATGTCGGATCTGGATATCCGGTCCAAAATTTTTCCACTACCCGTATTTGTATCCGACCTGATCCGTTATTTCACTATCCGAATCCGGCTCCGTCCTATCCAAATATCCGGTTTTTCGGAGCGGATCGCAATGGATCCCGGATCGGATCGCGGATCTCAGATAATTGGTGTCAGGGCTATCCAGTGGTGAGCCTTCATGATGGGTGTTTATCAAATTTTTATAATAAAATTTGATAATTGTTAACTTAAGCAACTTTAGATAAATTTTTTTTTTTTTGCTGTCCAGTGGTAAGGTTGCTTAAAATTTGAAAAGAAGGATTAATTTCAATATTGTTATATTCAACTTCAATATATTCTTCTACTGGTCAAATTTATATTCAACCTCAAAGTTCAAAAATTCAACCTAAAAAAATCTGATTTTTCAATGAGTGATGATGGAAATTCAGTTGTATCTAGTGACACTGAAAAATCCAGACTTTGAAGAACTAAAATCGTTTGCAAGATGGTGGAGTTTAAGGAGACATAAAAACAAGAGTGCAGGGAAGTAAACTCCTTCAAATTGCAGGATCCTTGAAGGCTTGAAGCACATTGCAGTCCGTTTTTGTATATGATCTCTTGAACCTCTGTATTATGCTTATGAAGTTTCACCGGATACAGGAAAGAAACAAAATCAAATCCCTGAAAAATCAATCATTGCCTCCTAAAAAAAGTGATGTCAATCCAAGGATAAACTAAAAACTATTGAAAATGGTTAACCAAAAACAAGCAGTTGTTAGAGTAGTGGGATATGATCGTCAAATTAGCTGTGTCACTGTCGGATTGGAGATTATGTGCAGTGCGTGCTATTATAGTATTATGCATGTAACATGATTTCATATTTCAGTAACTTAATAGAAACCAAAACAAAAAAAAGAAAAGACAAAATCTCTTAATTAAATACTAATTATTGGTGCTTGTAAACACATTTTAATGCGGTCGATCATTACTCTCTATTAGATAGAGAAAAAATATATACAATAATGGATATATGATTGGTGATCTCCAAGTTGGAGACTCCAACCATGCAAGACCATTTTGGTAGCTTGCAATCGATTAAAATAGTTTATTCTAGCGGTTCATTATTCATCACTAGCTATATATATATCTTTTTTTCTTTGCCATACATAAAACAAAAGAAAAAAGAAATCTCAATGGCACCTACAAATCTTGCCACTTTCAAAGTATTGGTTCTGACACGAATTCAGGCCCGCACACATTATTTGAATGAAATGATTCGTAAAACATAAAACACATTGAGACACATTGTAGTCTATTAATTGAAAACTTTGAAGTCATCGATCTGGATGTTTTCGGTATCCAGTTTTCGAAAATCGCTTCGGTTCCTACTGACGTAGAACTTGCCCCATTTATAGCCTTTGTATCTTGGAGGGTTTTCAGGACTCACAAGCTCTTCCAATGGTTTCACTTCCACATCATGTGAAGGCAACAAAAAGAACGGTATTGAGTATCTCTCTCTTGTTGTGTTCACCACCACTCTATGCTCTGCACTCCAATACTTATCATTCGTCCATATCTACTACATTATCCATTTTATTATTATTATCATATAGTAATGCACATTAATTATATGAGAGCTAGAATCTTGTAATGTTTTGTATAAAATGACATAGTTATTTCAAGGATATATATTTAATTACCTCCATACAATTGCCTATATTGATGACAAGAGCATCAGGGACGGGTCTAATGGGAAACCAAACACCGTCCGATCTACGACTCACTTGTAATCCTCCAACTTCATCTTGAGCCAATACACTTATTACGTCTGCGTCTTTGTGGTGACCAACACCTAAAGCTAGATCTGGTCTTGGACATGGTGGATAACGATTTATCCTTAAAAAACTCATTTGTTCTTTGAAGTAATCATGAAAACGCTCTTTTGGTAAGCCTAAGCTTAATGAAATGAGTTCTATGAGCTTCAACGCTAGTTTCTCAGCGTGTCTTGCATATTGTTCACATGATTTCCTAATAATAATATAGAACAAAAAAAATGTTAAAGGAAAATAGAACAAAAAAGAAAGAAAAACATAAATAAAATAAATTAGCTTACATAATTCAATAATAAAAAAATAAGATGATTTTATCGAATCTTTTGTGCTATGTGTAATTAAGTTACGACAACCTGTCATATACAGTGGTGGATGCAGCGTTGGGAGGATATGATTCACGTGACTCTCCCATGGATTTGGTAAAGTTGTGATAAAGGTTCTTGATTAATTATTTTGGTTTCAAGTTTCTATTTAATTCCTTGTTTTTATAAATAAGATAGAGAAAACAAAAACTATAAGAAGAAAAAATATAGTCATAGAGAAAAATTAACTGTAACTGTAATGTCTAAGCAATGCCATCACCCTATTAAATAATTAACTTAATTTTACTTGAGTTATAGAAAACAAATCATGAAAAAGATATATACTTAGTTCAAGCTCAAGGTCAAATATCTTAACATATGAAAAAGATATATAATTTCTAGATCCAGGGTTAGAAAATAGAAAATCCTCAAACCGGATCCGGTTAGCTAGTTGTTTCTCATAAAGACAAATTAAAAGAAATTACCTGAAATCAGAAGGAAAGTGAGGCCACTGGTTGTAAACAAGCCTTAAGCCATCATCTTCAAGATCAGTGGAAGAAGGAATCACCATTGGATCTTTGAAGTAACTATCGAACACTTCTTTCCAATCCCTAACGTTCTTCGTGTGTTCTTCATCGTGATACCCAACTGGATTCACCTCGTCTCTCTTCACCTTTACCTTCTCTTCCATAGGCAAATCGAAAAACGTCTTCACAGTCTTCTCCACAAGCTGCCTTGTGTCACAAGGCACACCGTGATTGATCACCTGAAAAAAACCCCATTTTTCACAGGCGTCACCGATCTCTGAGATAACGTTTTGGACATCTTCAGGATCGTCGAGACGCGAGAGATCGATCACGGGTATTTCTTCCGGTTGGTTAGGGATGAAATTCGAATCTGATCTATGCTCTGGTGCTTGGATGTAAGTTGGATCAAGTTCCTCCATTGTTACAAAAGTGAGACAAGAGTTTTGAGGCTAAGTGAAAAGTGCTTTATGCTGTGTTTGGATGCCTCTATACAACCAGAACGTTGTTGGTTGAACGTTGCTAACATATACAGTACCACTACTTTGTTTTAAAGTTAAAAATACAAATATAATTCAGGATATAAATATTATTCTTGTTTTGTTTTTATGTGTATGTTTTTGTTAATGATAAAACTTCAACTTTATTTTTCTTGTTGTATCTATCGGTCAGAGGATCTATCGGATCATGAAGTAATTAACACATTACCTGAAAAATATCATTAAATCGCATTTTACATATTAGGATAATAGTTAATCAATCTTCAAAGTTGGACTAAATCAATTTGTGTATTGTTTACTTGTTGAACACTGTTCTTTATTTTAAATTTGTCAGAGCCAAAGTGTGTTTATATATAACTTAATCTATTTGATATGATTGAGTTGTAAAACTGAAAGTTGAAAATACGATAGTTGCCAATAAAGACCATAACTAAAAATATTTAGGTATCCTTAAGAAAAAAAATCAACTATGTAGATCAAGCTGCGTTGATAGCTAAATAAAATATATATATATTTAACTGAAACTTTTTCAAAGCTGCCAAATTAATTTATCAATATCATTCGATGTTAAGAAAAAATTACAATCTGCTAAATTAATTTTCCAATTGTAAAAATAAGAATGGATATTAAAACTTTGGAGTTTGGATATTATACAGAAAAAGTTTGAGAGAAATTACCACAAATTAAGAATGTGATGAATTTACACTATAAACATAGAATTACAAATATGTTAATGGTTCATTTTGGAATATTTTTACTTTCTAAAATTCATCTACTTACATATTACAAATGGTCAAATTATAAATAAATGTAGAATTTTTTGCTTTTTTTTTTTTGGGTGCAAATTAATTAGGTTAATTGGAAAAATGTTGGACCAAAATGTAAAGATTAAAAAAGTTTGGTTTAGTAGCCTTGGAACATCGGTGGTGGTGGCGATGCGTATTGGTGTCCAATGTTTGGTGGGAGGATGAAATCATCGCCGCCGTCATTATTTTCTGATGGTGGTGCAGTTACATCCGGTGATGGAATTGAAGATGGCGGTGATAACGAAGGAGTGGAGACCGATTGTTCTGGTGCTTCAACTTCTGGTTGTGAAATTGGAGTCGGTGAGTGACTTGGCTCTGAAATTGGTGCCGGAGCAGGACTTGACCTGAACACTGGTGAATGATCTGACTCTGATGGAGCTTCCGTCTCCTCAGAATCTGGGGTCGGAGCTTGAACCGGTGATTGATCGTTTTCTGTTTCTGGTGAAGGTGTTGGTGCATTTTCAGTTGGTGATGATGCAGGTGGTAGAGGAGTTACAGGTTTTGGTGGTGGTGAGAAAACTGGTGGAGGAGGAGAGTAAATAGGAGATGGAGGTGGTGGAGAGTGGACTGGAGGTGGTGGTGAATGAACTGGAGGTGGTGGAGAGTGAACGTGGG